CCTTTGACCTTGGTCCTGGCCTGTCATATATGATACAGTTTAACCTTAAAGTATATAATTTCATGTGTTTTTTGGTTACTTTCATAGTTGTTCATCCATCTGTCATCCCTACCTTTTTAAATGTTGGAGCCTTGTTACTAGCTGAAAAGAAATTGCAGTAGGCAAGAAAGCAAAATACCTAATGTTTCTTCGACCACCACCAAAGATAGGAAAAAGATTATTTAGAAACAATTGCATGTCAATCTCAATGTTACTATGTTAGGCCTTTTAATACTTCCTGGATCATTTAATATTCTGCATAAAGCATCCTTGATTATGGCAACTCGAGGTTTGAATTTGTTCTTCATTTTCCTTGAGCTTAAGAAATGCTAAGCGAGATCGGCCCTTTTGATTTTCCGACTCCAGCTCCTTGCACATTTCATTGTAATATTTTGCTTTGTCATCACTTGCTGCCCTTGGGAATCTTCTGTTCAGCTCTTGAGTGTCTTGAATTCTTCCTTGTGCTTTGGCTTCCTTGCACTCCAGTGCAATTTTCAGAGTCTCTTCTGACATCCATTTTGGTCTTTTTTTTTTTCTGTCTTTGTAATGACCGTTAGCACTCTTCTTGGATGATACATTTGACATCTCCCACAACTCATTAGGTCTTTGCTCATTAGTGTTCAAGGCCTCAAACCTGTTCCTGAGATGTTTCTGAAATTCAGGTGGGATGAACTCAAAGTCATATTTTGGTTCCCATGGATTCCGTTTAATTTTCCTCAGCTTCAGCTTGAACTTGCATATATATGAGTAACTGGTGGTCTGTTCCACAATCAGCTCCTGGCCTTGTTTTCACAGCTGATATTGAGCTTCTCCAGCGTTTTTCCCCACAGATGTAATCGATCTGATTCCTTTGCATACCATCAGGTGAAATCCACGTGTATAACCTGCATTTATGTTTCTTATAAAACGTATTTGCAATGAATAAGTCATTGTGCAAAATTCAGTCATCTATCTGCAGCTTCATTTCTCTCACCAAGTCCATGTTTTCCAACTATTTATTCTTCTTCTCTATTCCCAACTTTTGCATTCCAGTTACCTATTATTTATCAAAGCATCTTAACTGCATGTTTGATCGATCTCTGACTGTACAAGTTGGTAGAAATCATCTGTTTCTTCATCTTTGGCTCTGGTTGTTCGTGCATATATCTGAATGATCCAGGAATTATTATAAGAAGATGGAAAGAATATACTGAGTCACTGTATCAAAAGGAACTGGCAGACACAGAAGAATTTAAGGGAATAACATATGAGCAAGAGCCTATGGTGATGAAGAAGTTCAAGCTGCTTTGAAGGAAATATCAAAAAATAAGGCCCCAGGAATAGATGGTATACCAATTGACATAATTCAGCTAAGAGATGCTCCCCTGGATGTGCTCACCAAATTGTGCCAAGAAATCTGGAGAACAACCACTTGGCCAACTGACTGGAAGAGATCTATATTTGTTCCCATTCCAAAGAAGGGTGACCCAACAGAATGTGGAAACTACAGAACAATCTCATTGATTTCACATGCAAGATTTACTGAAGATTATCCAAAAACAGCTGGAATAGCACATCAGCAGGGAACTGCCAGACGTCCAGTCTGGGTTTAGAAGGGATTGTGGTACTAGGGATATTGTAGCTGATGTTAAATGGATCTTAGCTGAAAGCAGTGAATATCAGAAGAATGTTTGTTATGATCCTGTTGTTCTGCACAGTTTGTTATGTTCCACACAGTCAAACACCTTTGCATAATCAATGAAACACAAACTGTGGCTGACTCTGAGAAGAATGGGAATCCCAGAACACTTGATTGTTCTAATGCGAAACCTATACTTGGACCAGGAGGCAGCCATCAGAACAGAGCAAGGGAACACTGCATGGTTCAAAATTGGGAAGGGTATCCGACAGGGATGTGTCCTGTCGCCATACCTCTTCAACCTTATATGCAGAACAGATTATCCGGGAGGCTGGTCTCTATGAGGAGAAGTGTGGTGTCAGGATTGGCGGAAGATCTATTAACAATCTGAGTTATGCACATGACACAACCCTGCTTGCCGAAACTCAGGAGGACCTGAAATGCTTTCAGCAGAGGGTCAAGGACTGCAGCCTTCAGTATGGATTGAGGCTCAATGTCAAAAAGAGAAAGATTCTCACCACTGGACCAATTGGCAGCATCAGGATGGATGGTGAAGAGATTGAGATTGTTAATAGCTTTAGTATGCTTGGCTCTTCGGTCAACACTCGTGGCAACAGTAGCTAGGTAATCAAAAAACGTAATGCGATGGGTAAGTCGGCTTTTAGGGACCTCTCCAGATACTGAAGAACACTGGTGTCACTCTGGGGACTAAGGTGCGTCTGATATAGGCTATGGGGCTATGGTCTTTGCAGTCACTTGTTATTCGTCAGTGAGTTCGACAATGGCTAGGGAGGATAGAAAGAGAATTGATGCCTTTGAGCTGTGGTGCTGGAGAAGAGATTTTAATGTACCATGGACTGCCAAGAAAACAACAGATTCATCCTGGAGAGGGTTAAACCAGTCTGTTCCTTGGAGGCAAGGATTCTGGGGCTTTGTCTGACACACTTTGGACATGTTGTAAGGAGGGACAGGTCCTTGGAGAGGGACATCGTGCTTGGGAGGGTGGAGGGACGGCACAAGAGGGGAAGACCCTCTATGAGGTGGATTGATTCAGTGACTGGGACAATCGGGATGGGTGTGGTGGAGGCAGTGCGATTGGCACAGGATAGAGCAGGGTTTAGGGCTGTTGTACCTAGGATTGCTATGAGTCGCAAGCGTCTAGAGGGCACATAACAACAACGTTAGGCCTGTAGCTCCTCTTCAAAACACAAGTTAGGCTGAGTAAAGCACCTTCCCGTTTCCTTCAAACAATTGTCATTGCACTGAACAACACATTATACTTGCAACCTTGTGCAGTGGAGCAGCTTACTCTCAGCAGAATGCCTACCCTTTCTTGAAGAGTATTTTTAAAAGGTGAACTTTCTGTCCTTTTGGTTTAGCGGGAGAGTTGTGAGGAAAACTTCCTTATCAAGTTTAGATCTTTGCCTCTCCATTCTGCAATGTATAGCTGTCATCCCATTCTATCAATAATAGGACCTCTGACTCTGTATCAAGGATGACCTTTTCAGTGAATAGTTGTTATTTTTCTGCAATCTAATCACAGCAGACCCTCCTGTGGTTTTCAGTGTCTTTAAATGACCTAGGAGATTGATGTGTCTCTGCATTTGCCTTACAACTCCTGTTCCTTAGGACACTGGAACTCCCTTTCCGTCAATGTTGATTGTGGGAACCATCCAAATTGCATCCCTTTGTGTTGGCAGTGCAGATCCTTACCACTAAGCTACCAGAGCTCCCTTTTGTATTTTAAATGTTTTTCTTTGCTAGCATAGAAAGGCATGGACTGCTTTTTTGCTATTTTTACTTAAGGGGAATCCCAGAACATTTAATTGTGCTCATGTAAAATCTAGTCAAGAATCAAGACAGAAACACTTAGTGGTTTAAAATCAGGACAGATGTGCATCAAGATTGTATTCTTTATCCATATTCATTCATTCTGTATGCTGAGTAAATTATTTGAGAAGCTGGAGGGTAAGAAGGAGAATTTGGCACCAGAATTAAAAGAAGACTCATCAACAACCTGTGTTATGCAAATGATACTGCCTTGCTTGCTAAAAATGAGGAAGTCTTGAAGCACTTACTGCAGAAGATCAAAACTTTCAAAATAGATTATATCTCACCATTGAGAAAACAAAAATCCTTATATCTGGACCAGTAGGCCACAGCATGATAAATGGAGAAAAGACTGATGTTGTCATTGATTTCATTTTACTTGGATTCATAATCAACACATTTTATAACAGCAGTCAAGATACGAAAAGACATACTGCATTGGAAAAAATCTGCTAAAGACCATTTAAGGTACTAAAGAGCTAAAGAGACTTAAATCATTTAAGTTTAATGTGTGCCTGATCGAAGCCATGGTCTTTTCAATTGCTGTGTATCTGAAAGTTGAACAGTGACTAAGGATGACAGAGAACGAATGAATGCTTTTGAGTTGTGTTGGACAAGAATACTGAATATCCCATGGACTAGCCTAAAAACAAACAAGTCTATCTTGGAGGAAGTTCAACCAGGGTACTTGTTAAAGTCATTGTCAGGAGGGATCATTTCTCGGAAAAAGACCTTATGCTGGGAAAGGTGAAGGGTCAGAAAAAGGCCTTCAATAAGATATATTGACACAGTGACTGCAAACAGTGGTCTTGAACATAGACATCTTGAGGATGATTTGTTGTTAATAGATTTGCAGTGAGTCATAGTTAATTTTATTGGCATCTGAAGCCAGAGTGTTCATGACACTGGTCTGCAGACCATTATATAGTAGGAAATCTTGTTGGATGTAACTTGTGACAAAACTTTCTGAAACTAAGGTTTTAGGAAGAGTAAAAGGGGCAGTGACGAATGAGAGTGTTTTCCGTGGGCACTCAAGCAAAGGATGTTGCTGTTATGTGCTGTCCTGTGACCTTCCCGTCGGTTTTCTGAGACAGTAAGTCTCAAGGGAGGAGATTGCTTCCTCCTTCTAAGCAGCTGATCAGCTGTGGGTTCTAGCCACAGGACAGCATGATTCCTTACCACTAGGCCCCCTAAGCTACACCCTCAGATTTTGAAATGGACTTTTTGTTTTTATTAACCTAAAAACAAATTATTATTTTCTTAGACAAAAAAGAAATTTTAAAATGGTATTATATTTTCACACCCTCATCCCACTTCACCATTAAAGAAACGTTTCTGTGTTTTTAAGAGAGATTACTTGAATTGAGTTCATGTAATGAGCGTCTTCAATGACTGTGAGGCTTAATAGTATTCTATACACATACTTTTTCTAACTCTTATATAAGAGTTATACCACATTAGTAACTTCAGGTTGACCAAATAATTATAAATTTGATTAACTTTCTTTTTTCAGATAATTTCTTTGTGGATGATTATGCTAGATTTTCTCTCTTGGATTCTTCAGGCAAGACTGCAGCTGTAGCCAATAGTATGAATTATCTGACTAAAAAAGGTAATTTTTTGTTTAGCCATACCTTGGGTTCAACAGGTTTTTTCCAATAATTGAGGTAATAATTTTACCTTAGTGTATATTGGTAAAGACAGTCACTTATTATATTATAATGCATCAAGGCTAGGAAATGAAAGTTTTAAAATTTAGTTATATGTATATATTTAAGAATTCTATTGTTCTTATAAAGGTGATCTTATATTAAAGAAAATTTTTTCATTATTCAAAGAGGCTTTTATAATGTTAAATGTGTTACTGTTTTAAAATTTTATTTACTTGCCTCTTCTGTAGCAGTAATAGGTAAAAGGAATTATTTATGAAATAAACTTCTAGAAAGCCTTATTATATGGCACATAACAAAAAAAAACAACATTACAGTTTTAAGGTATGATTTTTAAAATGATCCCTTTTTACTTGGGGACTGTTTATTTTCCTATCTAGTCATATTTAGTACACTTCAAAGAATGATCATTTAAGATGGTTCTTGTTATCTGTATTGTAATCTCCTAGAGAGAATATCTGGTTTTTAGGCAGTCAACAAGTCTGGTTTCTGGATGTAGGAGCAGAAAGCCAAGGAAGTTACTGTAGGGAGTATTTAGTACTTTGATTTAAACACTATCTAGTGATTACAACTATGATATTTTCTTCTATGTTTTCTTTTACTTTTTCCAGGAATGTCTTCCAAGGAAATCTATGGTAACTTAAAATTTCAGAATATTCTATTTGCTTTTTTAATTATCTTAGTGTTTTTATGAACTATTTTAATTTAGAATTTCTTGGCACATTCTTAGGATATGACAGGAATCTGGGTTGCTAGGACTATATAGATTTGGATATATTTTTGTGCCGAGTTATGTTTCAGCAAGTTAGAAATTCATCTGATGAAAGATTTCACACTCATTCCTCACTTATGCATAAGATTTTGTTTAAACTAACATTTTGTGAAATGGAAGATGTATTCCTCATTATATGACTTATAAAGTACATCTTTAAATCATTTGTAACAGTGGAGAATCATCTCCCGTCCAAAATGACACGTAACCATTACAGTTAGTGCTACTGTCATTTAATGTCTTCATCTTGAGTTAGGATTGTCTCGACTCCCAGGTATTCATCTGTTGCATAAAAAGTCTGACAGTGGAGTCCATAAGTGAGGAGTAGGTGTGATACATTGTTTACATGTTCAAAGGTTCCTCCCACCCCCTGTTGAATACCCAAAGCAGAATACAATTAATCAGTGCATGTTCTTTGTAAGTGAGTCACATTGCTGGCTATCCTACTTTCATTCTTCAGTAGAAGATTTAGTAATGTCTTCTTTGTTTCTCTGTTAAACTTGTCATTTTCTCATATTTTGCTTGCTTTCAGAAAACATATGGTTAAGTAAGAATATTGAAATATAGAATGTCTTTTTTATTCAACTGTGTTTGTTTTTTTTTTACAGATGATTCATTTATTAGGCCAGTAACCTTTTGGATTGTTGGAGATTTTGATAGACCTTCTGGAAGACAGTTGCTCTATGATGCTATTAAACATCAGGTAAATATAATAAATTTATTTGTATTTCTGCTTGAAGCTGTAGTTGTAATCATGGGTCATTGATTGTACTGATGGGAAGATGGGGCAGATTCTTAACATAAAAAGATCAGTTTTCAAGAGTCCACAATTAAGGTTGCATAGTGGAATGTACTTGGGGTGGTGGGAGGGGTGTGGGGGGATTGTGTACCAGGGAAGGAGTGTTTCTTTTACTTTTGAAAGAGAGGAGGGAACTGGGGGGGGGGGGGGGGGAGATGGGCAGGGAGAATATTGCAACAGTGAATGAATGGAAATCCAAAATCTCTGTAAATGTCATTAAAATTATTTTTAAAAAAATCAGTTTTTATTCAAAGTCTGCCATCTATTAAGAAAAAGAAGGTAAGAGTGTGGTATTCTAGCTTTATTTAAGGAACTCTATTTTCTTATAGATAAGAATGATGAAATAAAATTTTTATTGCATGACTGTTTATATTTTTGCTCTAGAATTGCTACATATGTGTTGAAAAGGCAGATTGCAGGCAACTCATGTAGGGTTTTGACTGCATCACATTTGAATTTTATTCCCTATACTGAATAAAAATTGATTGACTTTTAAGACAGGTTTTATTTGCTGCTTTTAAGGCATTGTTTGCTATGTAAGGCTTTATTACAAATGTTTATACTACTTCTTAAGTTCAAAATATTACATAATTCTTCTTTCTCAATAGAAATCTAGTAACAATGTGAGAATAAGCATTATCAATAATCCTAGTGAGAGTCTAAGTTATGAAGACACTCAGATCTCCAGAGCAATCTGGGCAGCCCTTCAGACACAGACTTCCAACTCTGCTAAGAATTTCATCACCAAAATCGTCAAGGAGGACACAGCAGAAGCCCTGGCGGCAGGTGCTGACATTGACTCATTCTATGTTGGTGTAAGTCTCTGTTTTTCCTGATGCTGTGGATTCTCTTGTTAATGCTGGTATTCAGTACATAGGGCTAAGATGGTTCACATCTACTTGTCATTTCCATTCTTAATCTCTGAGGATTTAGTGGTTTGGGGTTTGTTTGTTTTTTTAAATTGATGGAGTGTTTTGGTTTTTTTTAAGGCAGCAATTTTCCACATTTCTTTTAATACTTTTAAACTTGAAAATGTTGAGATGTGCACAATCTTTTAATCTTTTAAACCTAAAGCCATTGTTTTATACAGTTTTTAAGAAAAGCAATGCATAATTTTTCTGTAGAACAAATAATTGAGTCACCTTTTTTTTCACTACTGTAAATTAGTTGACTTTTAAATAAGTATTCTATAGTTAAGAAATTTCTTAACAAACGATGAGTTTAAGGGAAGTTTTGTTTAGCATAGTAATACTCATTTGAAACAAAATTAGTGAAACTTAGAGATGCCGAATACAAGAATCATGGTTTGTCACTCATTTCTAGTCGAATGAAATAAGCAGGCTCCTCATTCTGAGGATTAACTAGAGATTCAGAGGGAAAATGGAGAATAGATATTGTGACATCATAGGACTAATGAAGAAAATGAGTTACTACTTTCCTGAAGGAAATACTGAAAGAGTATTTATGACATTTATTATGATGATTCATTGATATGGCTTGCTTGTAACAACAATTACCTTTTTTAACTAAGAATTACTTTTTTAGGGCATGGATTTCAACCTTTTTAAAGAGGTCTTTGAGTCTTCCAAAATGGATTTCATTTTATCTCATGCCATGTACTGCAGGGATGTTCTGAAGCTGGAGAAGGGACAAAGAGCAGTGATCAGCAATGGAAGGGTAAGAGTTTTATTCCGAGACACACTTGAATTTGAGTTAAATCAATGAAAATTATTTGCTGCATTCTACTGTGAAGAATTCTATTCTTCAAATAGTTACTGTTGTCTAGACATGATTAGGTCTTATGAAGTGCTACTGATAATTCTTCCCCCATTCCATTGAAAGATAAGATATTTTTGCCCTAAACATCCTTGAGTGAAGCCTTCGTGCTATTTTTCTTAGCATTGCATATGCTTGCACTCAGGACAAACAACAGTATGATCTTCTTTGCAATGTAATGTACTCTTTCATGTAGGATTATGTCCTCATAAAGTTGTCATTTGTGCAGTCTAGCAGAGCTAAATTGGTTTAAACTTCAAATATTTATCAAATATCCACAGCTACTAATATTCGGTTATCATGAGCATATCATAACATGAACATATTAAACACTAGACATTTCAGGTAAAATTTGTGGTATCTACTACATCTTTTATTTTGTTATATTTAGTGAGACTTAGGAGGGTCAGAGAAAAAAAGGAAGCTCCTAAGTAAGACGGTTTGACACGGTGGCAATAACAGTGGACCCAAGTGTGGCGGCATTGTAATGATGCTGCAGAAAAATGTGCCATAATGTTGCTATGTGATGATGGTGCAGTATAAGGTACCATATTGTCACTGAGTCATAGTTGCATTGATGGCACCTAATTAGAACAGTGAAAATGTAAAGGTCTAAAGTCTAAGTAATTTAACAGTAAATAACTGCATTTGTTTATTTTGTATTTATGACTTTTTAATTTATTTGTATATTTCATATCACTCACCTTTAAAGTAACTTGGGTTATAAGACAACTTGATGACAACAGATGGCTCTGATAGTTTGCTGCTATCATCTTGATAAATAGAGAAAAGATAGTTCTTTTATACTAACAGCTCTGGTTTTCTTCCTAGATTATTGGGCCACTGCGAGACAGTGAACTTTTTAATCAAGATGATTTTCACCTCCTAGAAAATATCATACTAAAAATTTCGGGACAGAAAATAAAATCTCATATTCAGCAGCTTCAGGTAGAAGAAGATGTGTAAGTGTCCTGTAGAAGAAAGTAATTGGATCATGTAGTAGGAATATTAATTGAACTTTACTCATCAGCAAATTTAGGACTAAAGTTTGTTTATATATGCTGTCTGATCCAGTGTGATTGCTTCAAGCTATAAATTGTAATAATATTTTGCTTTCAATGTTTAATTTATACTTCTGTTGAAATAGATGTTTTATAGAAGGCAATTTAAGAGCTAAATTATTCCCCCACCCTTCTTTTAACTTTTTATTGTGGAGAATTTCCCGATATACAAAAATAAAAGGGTTGATTTCTTTACGAAATGCAATACATCTCTAGACCTTTTATTGCTTATAGCACTAGTATGTGCATTGCTGTACAGTGATAAATCGTGGTTGCTGTGATGCTAAACACTGTGACACTGAAGTGCCATATGTGATAATGGTTACCATGGTGGACAGTGTTTGGTGGAGCTCCCTGTTAAAACAAGCTTGGAAACAGGAGTGGCATCCACTTCTGAAATGGCTTGCCTCCAGAAACCTTGAACAGTGCTCAGGTCTTTCATTCATATGGTCGCTATGAGTCATCTTGACGGCACTTAACAACAACAGCAACAACTCCTTTACTTACCTTCCAGCTCAAAATAATAAACTGCTTCTCTTGCCTTTCCAATAACGATAATGTATTGGCTATTGCCAGTCTTTATTATTATTGCAAATATAAATCATTTGAGAACTTGGACTATATGAAGAATGTGACATCAGAATTGGAAGAAAACTCATCAACAACTTGTGTTAAGCAGATGGCACACCCTTGCTTGTTGAAAGTGGAGAAGATTTGAAACGCTTGCTGCAGCACATCTCAGTATCAGGAAAACAAAAGTCTTCACCATTAGACAAATAGGCAAGCAACATCATGATACATGGCAAATAGATTGAAGTCGTCAGTGATTTTGTTGCAGGTGTTTGACTTCCTATCCAGCAAACCCAGGTGAAGGAACAATGCCACTGGCTCTTCTGTGACGCAGAAAAGGCTTCATTTAGTCACAGGGAGATCTGACAGAGACCACAGTCTCTCAACAGTTAGACTCCTCAAAGGCCAGCTGTTCCCTCTTTATATAGGTTTACAAGGTAGAGGTTGAAGCTCCTTTCCCTTGACCAATTTTACATACATTCTGATTGATGAGTTAAGTACGCTGGACAGAAGGCCATAGGCTTACTTGAGTTTCATTGTAGGGATAAAAGGCAGTTAACCTGCAGCGGCTCCTGGGGTCAAGCTTGTTAAACTAGTTTTCTGTTATTGGTTAGCTTATGTCTTCCTGGGCCTTCCTCCATTTCATCTTACTTGGACTCAAAATTAACACCTTTGGTACCGTAGTCAAGAAATCAGAAGACTTGTTACATTGGGAATATCTGCTGTTAAGGACCTCTCCAAAAGGCTAAGGAGCAGTGATGTCAGTTTAAAGATTATTGGCCACCCCATCCAACTTTTCAGTTGCCATCTATTTCATCTTAAAGTTGAACCATGAATAAGAATGACAAAGGAAGAATCAATTCCTTTGAGTTGTGATCTAGAAGAGTCCTGAATAGGCTGTCAAAAGAATAAATTAGTCTTAGAGAAAGTATAACCAGGGTGCTTCTTCGAGGCAAGGTTGATGGAACTTTTTCTCTCGTACTTTCGGTATGTTGTTGTGGTGGCCATTTTTTAGAGAAAGACATCATGCTTGAAGAGATGAAGCGTGAGCAAAAGAGAAGACTACTCTCAAGGACACAGTGATTGTAACAATGGGTGAAAGTATATCGGCGATGACGAGGATGGTAGAGAATAAGGCATTCATAGGTTTGCTTTGAGTCATACTCAACTCAACAGCACCTGGCAATAAGAACAATGTTTATTTTTTAATATTTTGTTTTCTTCTTAGCTATTACATTTTCATGAGTTCTTTTTCTTAATGGAAGGAGGTAAATTGTTTAAATGGTCCATATTCTTATATTAAGCATCATATGACATCCATGGCTGTCATCACATCAGAACTGACTTCCAGCTGACCCTCTGTTAGGTTTCCAAGGCTGTGTATCACACAAGAGATTACCCATCTTTCTCCCTTGGAGCTGCTGGTGGATTTGAATCAGCATACAGGCATGGCCTTTGGGTTAGCAGTGCATCTTTCTTTGGAATACATTTATCTGAGTGTCTATAGGTAGTCATGTTGGTGTTAAGTGCTGTTGAGTCAAATACAACTCATAGTGACCCTGTGAGCAACAAACCTATGCCACTCTCATCATCTCTGACACAGTTGACCCATTGCTGTAGTAACTCTATCTATCCATGATGCTGAATCTATGAGGGTTTTCTGAACTGACTACTTTCTTCAGTTCTCCCTGGAGCCAGAGCACTCCAACTTGGAAATGGCCATAGTTTGCTTTCTTGAGTCAGGCCTGTAAGAGGAGGCTATCTGGTATTCCGATTGGCAGTGGCTCACATACAGTGATATTTCATGAGACTCATGGGAGCCTTTTTCCGGCTCCTAATCCATTTGACTGACCATGGGCCATTTGAAATGTATTGTGGCCATTTATCACAGGAGACAAACAAATTGTATCATCCATATTGGGAGTTGACATAGAGAAATTAAAAAGTAATCTGAAGTTATACTTAAATATATTATTATGTACTCATTAAAATTATTAATGTATATCTCCATTGTTGA